CCAACAGCAAGGCCTCTGATGGAACCACCTCTTAATTGCTGGTGTTCCCAGATCCACCCTGACCCGGGGTGCTAGCACCTGTTAGGGGTCCCAGCTATGGGCAAATATTAACCCCGAAACTGAGGCAAAAAGCATTATAAAATTGTAAAAATAGGTTTTAATACCAGAAATATTTTGTAAAAAAATTATTACCAGAAATAAATTTTTGTAGAAAAAAAAATATTACCAGCAATATATTTTTGAAAAAAATATTACCAGCAATACGTTTTTGAAAAAAAATATTACCAGCAATACGTTTTTGAAAAAAAAATATTACCAGCAATACGTTTTTGAAAAAAAAATCCGGCAATACATGTGATTGTACTCAAAAATATGAGTAACTGAAAAATGGTTTAAATATATTTGTATACATAGACACTTTTTTTTTACCAAACTATCTCTATAAATCTATTTATAAAATTATGTTGGCATTAATTGACTCACTGAGGTTTTGATATGCCATAAAACAAAACAACCAACCAACTAGATAGACACGTGCTTATACCTTAAAATGCAAGGAACTCCTTCGTCTGTTTATATATAGAATGGTGATTGCATTAAAGTTTCAAGTTAGGGTATTGTTCAATGTCTGCTGTCAATACCAAGATGTCTGGAAAGTTTTTCGTGACGTGCACAAATTACAAACGTGACTTGGTGTCGTTTTGTGTATTTCGTGAGAATACGAAAATAAATGATCTTGTATCAAATCTTGTACCAGCGATAATACAAATAGATTTCACAATAAATTGATTGCTCTGATCAAGACTTTCAAATAATATCATTATTTGCGACGCATGAATAGCCTGTTTCATTAAAACGTTCTCGCTTAAAACGTGAGTTAAGTGAATGGGTTTAAAAAGTTATTTCTTTTCTTTTTCCTTCTCTTAATCTAGGAACAAATATATAAGTCTTATACGAATAGTTTTAATGTTAGCCTTTCTAAATTCATTGCTATCAAGAACATTTTCATAAATTTATTACTATGGGTGTTTTTGTAGGATCCCTGTCAATATGCGGTGTTGCGGTGTATGTTAGATTGAATGGTGATAGATGACTTCTTGTGGTGATTGTGTGAATTGTAAGAATAAATGGGTCGTGAATCAGACTAGCGAGGTTTTGGATAGTCAGTGACAAACAAACCCTTCGGCGTTGTGCTACAATTGTATTTTTAAATACAATAAATAAATTAATATTTCTCTCGCACACTCACTCACACTCACATACACACACGCATATAATTGGCAAGAATTGGCTGGTCAACTTTAACGCCTCAAAAACTAAACTACTCTCCATAAACACCATAGAGATCTTTCCCTGCCCCCCATTAGAATGTCTCATAGTCAACTTCTTGAGAGCAACTCCCTGCGTCTGCTCGGTCTCATGTTGACTGCTGACCTGAGATGGAACAAATACATTGAGTCAATTGCTTCTTCCACCGCGAGGAAAGTTGGCTCTCTGTGCCGCGCCAGGAAATTTTTCTCCCCGGAATCGATACAAAACAACCATTCGTCCTTGCATGGAGTATTGCTGCCATATATGGTCTGGGGCACCTTCTGTTTACCTAGGAGTTCTTGACAAGATCCAGAGACGGATATGTAATATAATTGGACCTGATCTGACGTCTCGTCTACAATCACTCTCTCACAGACACGCCGTCGCCTCTCTCTCTGTCTTTTTTACAAATACTTTCATGGTAATTGCTCCGATGAGTTGCTTTCACTGGTTCCCAGACTTTATGAATTCAAGTGCCCTACGAGGCTGGCATTCCGCTCCCACCCTTACACTGTAGAAACTTTTAAATGTAGCCGTCTCTTCCACTCCAATAGCTTCATACCTCGCACCTCTCGCCTGTGGAACACCCTTCCCAATTACTGTTTCCCTGAGAGCTATAATCTCCAACTATTCAAATGTAATGTCTATCGACACCTTCAGTTACCTTGATCTATCCACTATCCTTCTCCTCATCCTTTCTTCAATCACTCCTATCTGCTCTTGCTCCAAATCTTCTGCAACCCCCTGCATCCTAGTGGCTTCACGCCTTGCTCGGGGCGTAATGCTTAAAAAAAAAAAAATTATAATTTTGCTTTGGTTCTTTGTTTCTTAGCGCGTACCTCATGCACTACTAATACCTTAAAAATAATAATGGATTATTCCGTTCTGATTGCGAGGAAAAATGGATGGGTCATATCAGAGACGCTGTTTCGATCCAGATAGAAAAAGAAAGAAAGAAAGAAAGAAAGAAAGAAAGGATATAGAGGAGTACATAACGCCATCATGTGTTTAACGTCTGTTTCAAGAAAATGGAAAAACTTTTCAATTTCAAATGTTTTTATTTGTGTCCTCCCACTTCTTTCTGTTGCGACCCAAGTAAATGGTTAAAGAAATAACAAAACAAGTGTTACAGATATATCATATATTAAACAGTAAGTACAACAGAAGAGTATTACACGACTAATAAGTGTGTGTTGGATGAAGCAGCCTTCAATCTATTCGACTGTTAATATTTAACAGTCCCCACCTCACTAGGAATGTATGTGGCACAAGGCCGAGTTTACCGTTGGTTCTCCGAGCCCGTAGGCTCGGCCAAAAATATTCCCTTAGAACCCGTATAAACAAAGCCTCGTACGGGTTCCTTTCTGCTCGAGGCAGAGAGTTCGACAGCTACGAATAATCTATTCGACTGTTAATATTTAACAGTCCCCCACCACGAGGGATGTATGTGGCACAAGGTCAAGTTTACCGTGGGTTCTCAGAGCCCGTAGGCTCGGCCAAAAATATTCTCTTAGAACCTGTATAAACGGGTTCAGGGTCTGTTTACCTCCCCGGACGAAACTTTGCCTTCGGCAAAGCCTCGTCTGGGTTACTCTCTGCCTCGGCAGAGAGTTCGACAGTTTGAACAATCTATGTGACTGTTATATTTAACAGTCTCTCCACAAGGAATGTATGTGGCACAAGGCCGAGTTTAACGTGGGTTTCTCCGAGCCCGTAGGCTCGGCAAAAATATTCCCTTTGAACCCGCCTAGACGGGTTCAGGGCCTGTCTACCTCCTCGGACGAAACTTTGCCCTTCGGCAAAGCTTCGTCCGAGTTCCTCTCTCCCGAGGCAGACTGTTGGACAGTTGAACAATCTGTGCGACTGTTCCCCCAAGGCCTTATCTCCTACTAATTTTATAGTAGGCGGAAGAGTCCAACATAGACTCTTTAGAAGGAGGACACCACAACACTTTCAGTAAAGACCTGTATTCAGAATGTTATTGCAATATTTTGCTAAAGTTGTTAAGTTTAAATAGGAGAAATTCCACGGTTAGCTTATAATCGTGAAACTCACAAGAAGCTTATTCAATCATTAACTTAAAATTATGATTCATCAGAAAATTAAAATAGCAAAACCGTAAAATTTTCACTAGTATATATATATATATATATATATATATATATATATATATGTATGTATGTATAAATATATAAAATGCCAAGAAGAAAAACTTTCATGTCCCACGAGAAACGTTATCAAGATAAATGTATAAATTTTATTTAGAAACCTGTGTTTATGCACGCATAAAAAGTAATGTTGAAAAAATTACCTTATCCATTCAAATGCGAACGCCTTAAAATACTCAAAAATCTCTGGACGTTAAGGGAAAGAAAAAGATGGAAATGAAAGAGAACTAACCTTATAAACTAATATACTCATCACTGCATAAGAATATAATTCGGCACAATTACAGGAGGTAATTTAAGAGCAGTAACAATACGCAGCCACCAATATATACATGAAGAAGAAATATAAATTGAAAATATATGAAAACCTGCAATATTTTTATTATTTTATTCACAATGCTAGAAGAAAAGAATGTGAAATCTACAATAGCAAAAAAATAATAATAATAATAATATTCATATTCATATTCATTAGTTTTCTACGCCTCACCAACCCTTTGCGGGTTATTTAAAGCCAGAAAATGTTTTTAGATTATATGATTTTTTTGTAATAATAATAATGATTTAGTGATACAAATCTTACTAATTAACCCATACCTGGGGAGAAGAGGTGGATTCATAGCTTTCCCAATAGTATTTGCGCATAATTGAATATAACGAAACCAATTGGAACTCGGATTAAAAATTCCGAGCTGTTATCCATTACATCACCTGCACATCCAAGCTTACAGCAACTGGTATTCAAAAGCGGTCCCCCATCTAGGTGCTGACCAGACTCAATTGCTTAACTCCGGTGATTATATATTTATATATATATATATATATATATATATATATATATATATATATATATATATATAATATATATAAATAATAGTTTTAAGGAATTTAATAAGGTTTTAAGATATTTGTAACTTAAAATGCTCGATATCAGGGATACAGCGTATGTAAATATAAAACTGGACATTGAAGTCAACACCAAAAGGGAACAGTCTGTTTCATGCTAAACGCAATCGTCAGGCCATGTGCGTTGTGTTTTTGCAGTGATGCATTGTTGGTAGTCTATTGTATTATTCTAACGGTTGTTTTGGTGGGCGGTAACGGTTGTGTTTTGAATTATTCTAGAGGCTATTGAGTGGGAATAATTGTGGATCCGAATGCAGTTTTTTGGCTACTTATTGTCTTGTTAATTAACTTTTTATTGATTATTTTATTGCTGGCTTTTATTACTGCATTTTCTTGTGTTTATCTATGCGTATATTGTTTGTTTATTTATTATTTACCTACTTTATTTTTTTGTTTGGGTTAATTTACTTATATATATATATATATATATATATATATATATATATATATATATATATATATATATTAACGAAATTTTCCAATTAATTACTTTGCAGAGTTTCTGAAAGGCACTTCCGCTATTCTTATCTACTTTTGAATTTATGGATCGCATTTTCAGCGTTTTACAATATTACCTAGATAGTTAAATTTATCCATTTTTTTTTATTCTTTCAGTTTTCCGAACTCTTGGTATTCCTACCCGTTGTGTGACGAATTTTAAATCGGTACATGACTGTGATTACAGCGGACCCATCGATGCTTATTGGTCTTCGGAGGGAAAACCTCGCAAGATGTACGATGACGCTATCTGGTGAGTTTTTTGTAGCAACATAAATTATGACCTACCACTAACTCCCTATCTCTTTCTCTCTCTCTCTCTCTCTCTCTCTTCTCTCTCTCTCTTTCTCTCTCTCTCTTTCTCTCTCTGTTTCTTTCTCTCTCTGTTTCTCTCTCTCTCTGTCTCTCTCTCTGTTTTTCTCTTTCTCTGTTTCTCTCTTTCTCTTTCTCTTTCTCTCTCTGTCTCGTCTCTCTCTCTCTCTCTTTCTCTGATTCTCTCTCTCTGTCTCTCTTTCTCTGATTCTCTCTCTCTGTCTCTCTTTCTCTTTCTCTCTCTCTCTCTTTCTCTCTGACTGGATACCGAATTCTTGGATTAGGCTTCGGTCATACTCGAAGTTTATGGAGTTGTGTTCTGGTTGTCTAGTTGACTTTGTTTAGCGGCATATCGACCTCTATGGGATATTTAATACCGAAATCTAAATATTTTGAACACAGTTGTCTGGCTTCAACTAAATACAGGGTGCGATGGATAAACTGTCGTCTAAATTGCGTAAAAATGAAAATAATACTGACATCTCATTTCAACAAATATATTTACGAAAATTACACAAAAATATCTTGACATACGAAAGAATAAATTTATTCAATCAAATCGCCATTGGCTTCAACCACGACCTTCAGACAGCTTTGGAATCTTCTGTATCTCTTCTAGATTAAGTTGGTGAATGCTGCCATAATCCTTGTCTTCATTTCATCTTTGATGTTACAAGGAGTTTAGTTGGTCTCTCGCTCAAATGCGACCCATACATATTAAGAGGCTTTCAATCTGGGGATAGATAGATAGATAGATAGATAGATAGATAGATAGATAGATAGATAGAAACGTTCCAATAAATTTAGATTAGGCATTCATCAGTTTCGAAAGACTGTCGAGTTCTGTCTCTGGATGATGTTGAAAGGCAAATATTGACACGCATGGTTCCTGTGTCGATGCAGGATGTTTTCTGAATTCAACCACGAACTGCCTTACGGACTCCGATTCTGGGTTTATCCTCGGTGTTGAGCCCCGATGACTGTCCGATGAGTGGGCATAGCCATAGCTGAGCGACGCTTTTAATCAGTATTTTCTTTCACTTAGACGAGCTACCTTCCTGGGTTTACGAAACCCGTCTGCCCAATTCTTATGATAAGACAAAAGAGCAGAAATAACAATGCAGCAACGGGGAAAATATTTTTCTTTTTCACGTTATTTACATCCGGACTAATTTCCTCATCTTTGTTGTTATTATCATCACGTTTCGGCCGTTTTACTCACCGGCCTTCTTCAGATGTCTGTTTATCTGGTTGATCTTCAGGGAATTTCAAACTGAACACTTCATTTAATCTACGGGTGCAGATTGCTCTAATGCTCTTTATCCTAGTAGATTAAAGCGTTGGTTCATGAATTTGGTGACGGTAATTGAGCGTTCAATCCCTAGGCTGGGTAGTACAGACTTAGAATCAGTGACAATAGGTTGAACAATAACTGAGCAGTACTGAAAAAAAAGAACGAAACGATATATCCCTAGATATAGACAGTGGGGCGAGAATAATAGACCTCCGTAGATTAAATAAAAGATTCAGTTTGATATTTCCTGAAGAATCGATAAGCACCTGATGAAAGCCAGGTTTCTGAGCCATTATCCATTATCTCTCTCTCTCTCTCTCTCTCTCTCTCTCTCTCTATATATATATATATATATATATATATATATATATATATATATATAATAAAAAAGGCTTAAACACTAATATTCCATGGTTTATAATTTATTCCATTGGAATCGTAAATACGATCAATTCATCAGACCTACAAATTCAAAAACTTTTCAATTTGTAGGTCTGATGAATTGGATCGTATTTACGATTGCAATGGAATAAATTATGACCATGGAATATTAGTGTTTAAGCCTTTTTATTATATCTTTACTCTGTCCTGGACATTGAGTTCTACCTGGATTCTATCCTCTTGGAATTTTTTATTCAAAAAAATATACATGTATGTGTATGCACCTACGTATATATACTTATGTATGTGTATATTTACCACTAATATTAGCTATATATATATATGTTGAGTTCCGCCACGGAATATGTGAGCGAGAGGCGCTAAGTTGAGTCTGATTTGGAATCTCTTCGTCACCGAGGCCCATTTGGGACAGTTGGTATGATGTTCGCTTGACAACCCAACTGTCAGGGTTTCAATTCTCGATAGTGGATGCGCACTGCTGATGAGTCCCAAATATAGGACGAAACGGCCGTCCAGTGCTTCCTGCATTCTGCAGAGGTTTCTATCAGACTCGATGAATTAATTAAATATCAATATATATATATATGGAATCTAGCAAGAACCGCAAGTTTCTATTTGTTGGTTATGAGGTTAGCTATATTCAGCAAATACATTTTTTCTTATTTTGATTGCAGGGACTTTCATGTATGGAATGAGTCTTGGTTTAAGCGACCTGATCTGCCTGGTTCCTACGACGGTTGGCAAGCGTACGACGCAACTCCTCAGGAAGTAAGCGAAGGTAATCAAGCGGAAATACCTCTCTTCCTTATTCTTTCTTTTTTATTTCTTGCGTTCTTTCTTTCTTTTTTCTTTCTTTCTTTTACCATTTACAATTTTGATTTTATACCTGACAAGTCTTTCTTTATTGTCTTTTTATCTTGCAATTTTCTCGAGTTCTTTCTTTCTTTCTTTCTTTCAAATACTTATTACACTCTTTCTAATTTCTTTCGTGTACTTTGACTATCTCTTTCCTCATTTCTCTATTGATTGTGCTTTACTTGACATTGTATAAATACTATATGCAATCTGATCTCCTTAATCCGGCACCAGTGGTCCGGTAACTACCATGATCCGGTACTTTTTTTTTAATCAGCCAATATTAGTTAGCTGAGCGGCTACAAAGAAAGTGTCACACGTTTTTATTTTTGTTGGCAGGGGTGGGGGCTTTTTTTGTTTTGGAATTTTTAATCATTTCACCCCAAGTAGAACAATAAAGCCACTAAGACACACGGGATGTGTTAGTAAGTGTGCGAGAATATGAAAAAAAAATTAATGGGAAAGAACAATAAAAAAGAACAGGAATTAAGAAGACAGAAGACAACGATTGACATTGCATTTCAATTTTTGAAAATTGTCTAATACGGCACAGTGAACCAACTTTCCTAGCAGCAAACCTAGCAATTGATTCAATATATTTCCATTTCATTTCACGTTAGTCCGAAAAGGCACAATGAGTCACTCACTTTAGGAGGTTACCATCAGCCATGCTGATCGAAGGCAAAAAAAGATTCTCTCAGACGATTAAAAGAGAGCAGTTTCGTTTTGGAGGCGTTAAAATTAACAAGTCATTTCGTGCCCCTGTTAACAACTGGTTATAGGTCATTTTTGAGATCAGCTGCCAATTTGACCATATTGAACCGATCAGATTTACTGTTAAAATAGGAGTAAATAGTTGTCTCGTCAGTGTTGTGGACCCAGAATATGTCCGAAAGTAAACTCGAACTCAGCAATTTAGTGAAAACAGATTATTAACAAAAAGAACGAATAAAAAAGTGTTGCACATCTGACTGACAGCAAAGTACAGTAGTCAACTTGTCAAACTGTAGACCGCTCTCTTGAGAGGCATAATATAATAATAGGACGAGTCCATAAAAGTAGGTCCCATAACAGTCAATATAGATACTGAATTGAGAAAATGACACCAGAAATGTCGTTGATGAAAATTAGGAGCAAATTTTTGCAGAAGCCGTTTTTTTTTTGGTGATAATCTTGCTCAAATCTTATATATAACTGCATATTTCCCAATCAGGATAATAAGATGATATTGATTCTTGTTGATTCTAGGCTTTGTTATCCATTAGATTGCAGAAAACATTAAGAAAAAACGATTTTTGGAAGCATTAATGATTATTTTATTTCCTTTTTTTATGCATATATATATAGTCATCCACAGGCAGACCGTTTCGCTGTATCACAGTTCATCAGTGGGGATAGACATCCGATTGCTTCAAGCCAGGATTGAAACTAGACTGATTCGGCAACAGTCGGATATTTTTCCCCTAAGTCATCGGCGCACGGTTGAAAATACGGCGAATTTTTACGTACTTATTCTGTGAATAAACACGCCAATGACTGATAGTGCTCTATTCGAGGAAGGGGAAGAGCCTTGTAATATTAGTCGTAATAGTCATTGTTTACAAATTCGCACTTATCTTCCAAGAGTGAACGACCGAATTTAAATTGTAACGGCGGTCTTACCGTTAACAAGAAAAAAGTGGAATGATAAAACAACAAATGGAGATAAGATGATGGATCTTTTACACGTTGCGGATAATCATATGTCAGTCGTGGGAGACTGAGAGTTAGTTCGGGATATAAAACAAGGTAGGGATCGAGATAAACACGTGAAAAAAATCAAGGGAAAAAGAATCGTGAGAGAAATATCAACACAAATTATCACATTGTAATAGTCGTGGGTTAGTCTTAACTGCTACCTCTGGTTTCGTTATTGGTCTTAGTGCCTTAGTGCCGCTACTGATCGACTGGTTAAGCTTACTTGTCGTGGGTGTCCGTTGTTAATGACAGCTGAGTTGGTGGAAACGATGTTTTATCGTCAGTCAGTTACTCAGAACGGCTGCTGTGAAAACTAAGTGGGCCGTTTCTGATTGGATATGAAATGTGTTTTATGATCCTAGTATTTTGGGACGGTATTCCAGAAATTATTGTGCGAAGCCGGCCAAAAGTGAACTCTGTTTTTCTCACATGAGTGGTGGATATTGAAGTGAACACTTCTGTTTGAATTATAGAAGTTATATAGGTTTTCCGATATGGTACGACAATATATATATATATATATATATATATATATATATATATATATATATATATATATATATGATAAAATATAGTTTTACAATATGTTCTGTTTATGAGTTAAAGTGCTCACTATCAAGGATAGAGCGCATACAAATATAAAAAGTGTCTTTTTGGATAACTCAGTATCAGTTAATTCCGGAACGTCGTGAATATAGCAGTAAAGATGTGTACAACAGTCCGAACGATGTCAATAGTGTAAATGGTTACAATACCTCATCTCAGAAATATAGACAAATATCTAAAACATAATTCTCTAACTTCACCGCAGTTGGAGGGTTTTGATGAAATCCAAATAAGAATCAGCAATATTATTGATCCTTTACTCCCTTTCCCTCCGCTGTAATGTAGCTTCCCTCTGCCTTTTCTATAAATACTTTCATGGTAATTGTTCTGATGACCTTTTCGCTATGGTATCTAGACTTCATGAATTTCAGCGTAGTACTAGATTGGCGGCAAGGTCTCACCAGTTTACAGTTGAATTTGCTAGATATAACGATAACTTCTATGCTCACAATTTCTTTCCTCGCACTTCTCGCTTGTGGAACTCTCTAACTGCTGCGAATTCAGAGAATTATGTTTTAAACATCTGTCTATATCTCTGAGATGAGGTATTGTAACCATTTACATTATTTACATTGTTCGGACTGTTGGACTCATCTTATTGCCATTCCAACCTTTTTCAGCTGATATACATTGGAATTTTGAACGAACCCTTTATTTAGTCTACGCGGGTAGATTGTTCTAATTCCACGTGACATCCCTTTTTCCCACAGCAAAGGGAATAAAAATTTTCCAGCCAACTTTGACCTTCAAAAATTTCAATGCAACGTCAATCGTTATCTACTGTCTTTTTTATTACTCTTCTATTATGCTCGCTTCTTAATAATTTTTTTTTTCTTTTTCTTTCGCACTTAGTAACCTTTTCTGTCTTAGTGGCTTTAGTGCTTTGTATGGGGTGATATGATTTTAAAAAAAACAAAAAAGAATGCTATCTTTTACAGGGCGGGACTTTTGAAGAACATTAACCCGTTTAAGTGCCTTGTATATATTAACACATTTAGTGACTTGTATGGGGTGATATGATTAAAAAAAAAAAAATAAATAAAAGAATGCTATTTTTCATAGGGTCTGACTTTGGAAGAACATTAACCCGTTTAAGTGCCTTGTTTGTATTAACCCGTTTAGTACCTTGTATGGGGTGATATCATTAAAAAAGCAAAAAAAGAATGCTAATTTTTATAGGGCGGGAATTTGGAACAACATTAACCCCCCCTTTTTTTTCAATCGGCAGTTCTTTTATTGGAGAAAGTTCAACAGTTTATTCACAGGATGAATATTGTAAAAATTGGCTGACTCGTCGAAAGACCAACGCTTAACAGTTAAGCAGAAGGACATTAATTACGACACAAGAGACCGGAATAAAGAACTTAAAACCGGGATTCTCCTGGCACCGCCGGGAGAGTGGACAGGTCTGATGGCAACATGGGGTATGATCGCTTATTGGTTTTTAGTTACCATATCTCCGGAACGATAAAAATACAATGTTCCGATGTGTTTTCTAGAAGGGAATATCGGTTTGTCAAGAAAAATAATCGTTTACTTGTTATTTTTTTCAAGGTGTGTTTACGTGTGGCCCGGCTCCAGTCAAAGGAATCCGAGATGGGGAACTCCATCTGAGTTATGATACCAAATACCTGTTTGCTGAAATCCACGGCCACCGCGTCCACTGGATGATGGACGTAATGGGAAACATGGAACCGATCGCCGTTGAGCAGAATGCTGTTGGCAGGTCAATCAGTACAAAAGCTGTGAATACCATTTCTAGAGACGATCTCACTCATCACTATAAACATCCCGATGGTGAGTATAGAGAAATTAGTGAAACAAAAACTTAGCAATTATTGCAGACTAATAATATCTTATTACGTCGTAATAAGTAACTTCGAAACAACTCAGTATTGTAGGTGTATATTGGTAATACAGTGATCAGAATAACCGTTTTCGTACAGAAAACATTAGGCATTTATTGACTGAACAGTTAGCGTCACTGTCGTATGAAATTTATATAATCTTTCTCTTAAAACAGTTTTTCTGAAGAATCCTTCTTCTATGTACGTGTCCCTTTAGGGATTTTCTAAGCCCGGCTTAGATGTGGCACAAGGCCAAAAGTATGGGGTACCCAGGGAGGATCGAACTCACTACTCAGTCGTAATTGATCTAGCAAGAAAAAGCTTTCTAACCATTACACCACGTCGAGGTACCCTGTACGTGTCCCTTTAAGAAGTGTACGATTATGGTTCTCCTTTTGTAGGTCTTAGTAAGGTTTGTCTTTTCACTATTTTTTCCACTTTCTGTCATTCATTTACACAGGTTTCTTAGGCGTGTTAAATTGAAGGCGCCGTGGAGTAATGGATAGCGGCTCAGAGTGGCGAGTTCGGATTCCAGTTGGATCCATTAATTACGTGTTAATACCTTTGGGAAGTATATAAATCTTCTTCTTCTCTCCCCGGCTATGGGTAAATATCAGCCTATAAGAGAAGTAACTCAGAAGGTAACTCTGAATTCAAAATCGCCCTGGTTTGGCTCCATCAGGCTATCTTGCCCAAGAAACACCACTTCTACTGTGCCACTACGACCCTAAGTTAGGCGGGTTACTGGCCCGTTTCTTCTATTCCTACTGCCGTCCTGTGAGTGTCAAATTACCCAAGCCCTCTTTCCTCATTATGTGTCTTAAAAAAATTCAACCATTTCTTTCTGAGCATCCTTTCTGTTTCTATTATCCTTAAACCTTCCCCATGTTCAGTTCAAGCAAATAGGCTTCTATGTCCATTGTCATAGTTCTTTTCGCTACTGACGAGAGTTTCTTTGTGTTGTGGGGCTCTCCCCTTTTTCCATAAGATGGACTCGTCCAAAGTATACTTATACTGACAGAGAGAATACCTGCTGTTGAGATACGTCGAGATACAGTCTCGACGTCTGTCAAACTCTCTGCTTTGCCAGAGAGGAACCTGGACGAAGCTTTGCCGAAGGGCAAGGTTTTGTCCGGGGAGGTAGACAGGCCCTGAACCCGTCTAGGCGGGTTCAAAGGCTATATTTTTGGCCGAGCCTACGGACTCGGAGAAACCCACTTTAAACTCGGCCTTGTGCCACATATATTCCTCGTGGGTGGGATATTAAATACCGAGATACGTGGAGATACCTTGAGATACGTTGAGACAGGTTGAGAGATACGGACAGACACAGGGTGTTCTCAGAGATTTATACAAGAGTCCAGAGAGAGATGATTACGGCTTTACTTACAGAAACTTGTACATATACTTTCTACTAACCCACATTCCTGGACTACTAATCTTCACTTCAAGTCTGTATTCTTACGTTTAATACACTTATTTTTCTATCTCAATTACTGGCGTTGTTTATTTATTTGTGCAGGATTCCATTCACGGAATCCAAAAAACCTTGCTAACGTTTTGTAGTGCGTAATGTCAGCATTTTGATTATGCCATTATTTTCACTTGCAGTTACATGCGCTATTCATTTTAGTCGCTGCTGCTGTTGGAAGTCTTCGAGCAATGTTTTATTATTTGATAACATTCTTTGTGTTTCTATAGCGTCAGATTTTAAGATCTGATTCAGTATTCTTAGTTTATAGAGATAGTATATTTGTCTATTATGATAGTGAATGTGTTGAGGTTTCTTCGAAAAAGTAAGAATGGATAATTTATTATCTACCAGGGCCACCTGGGAAACATGCTGACGTATGTGCAATTCATGACAATTCACAGATAATAAAGAAAGGGAATCTGTGGAGAGCCATAATCGCTTACGTCCTGAAGGAACATGGTATTGAAAAATTATGGAGAAGGCAATGGGAAACTACTCCACTCTCTTTCCCAAGAAGTAATGTCAATTCACAGATAATAAAGAAAGGGAATCTGTAAAGACCCATAATCGCCTACGTCATGAACGGAGACAGCATTAAAAATTACGGACAAATAAAAAGAGGAAACCACTGCACTCTCTTTCCCAAGAAGCCATGACAATTCCCATATAATAAAAAAAAGGAATCTGTGGAGAATCATGATCCCTTCGTCATGAAATGATTAGCATTAATATATATATATATATATATATATATATATATATATATATATATATATATATATTTGGTTGGATTGATGTGAGTTTGTGACCCTGGGTTTCACGCTTTTGCGATCATCAGACAAACTGATTAATTTTTTAAAAATTTGGGTTTATGTAGATTGCGTGTATTGGTGTTATTATGGGAGTGAGGGGGGAATCGTCATCGTGATATCATCGTGCTGACGCAAACATAGATGCATGTCCGTACACCCGATGAGGTACGCAGACACACATACACACTTCCTTGTCCGTCGGGACTCATACATATATAAACATATGTGGACAGTTTCGGATTTGACATATGTATATATATGGGTGGTGTTGTGTCTATACATACGCATTTGTATGTTGAAATTCAAAGATTGGAAGTGTAGCGAAAATTTCTCGTGAATGTCTCGTGAATGTATACATGTCAACAATCAGAGCCTTTTTCTATTTTTTCACTGAATAATATTTCCTCGCATGTATGTATATACGTGTGGTGGGGTCTGTGTAAAATTATGATAGGTAAAAATTACTATATGTTAGCTCTATCTCTGATATTAAGCGTTTTCTAATAAGTACCGCGCATATAATATATAAATAATTATATATATATATATATATATGTATATTATTTATATTTATATACACACACACACACACATATATATATATATGTGTGTGTGTGTGTGTGTGTGTGTGTGTGTGTGTGTGTGTGTGTGTGTGTGTGCAAATGATTATTTTACACGGACTTAATTTTTGAAAGATCTAAAATAAACAGAAAAAATACAATAAAACTCGACAATAAATGTTTATATGTTTTTTCTCTTTACAGGTAGCCCTGAACTAGCAGCCGCATTGGAACGTGCAAAGCACCACACCTTACGGTCAATTCCAGATATTCCTGCCCCAAGCAAGACGGATGTCGATTTTGCATTCACCGGGGAAGGATATCGTACTGGTGACGTATCTGCTTCCCTCCGCATCAAGAATAATTCGACTTCACCTCGAAGTATTAAGGTGCACATGTGTGCAGCTGCTGCCTACTACACTGGTGTGCCTGCTAATGATTTGAAAGAAAATTCCCAGACTGCTCTTCTGGAGCCACACGCAGGTCAGTTTTCTTAGCTGTACTAAATGTTTCATTATCAGAGAAGTAAAAAGTAATCTGATGGACAGACTATATGTTGGTCTTTCATCACAAGAAGACAAAGGTGGGGAGATAGAATAATGTTTTGCGCAAGTATTGTAGGTAGTAAAACTATAGTAATGATAATAGTAATATTAGCCGTTTCCTTATAAGGAAACATTCGCCATTCATTGACCGAGCAGCCAGTGTAGGTTGAAATTTATAAAAGCTTTCTCTAAAAAGAATTTTTTTCAGGAAAATTGGTTTCTCAAGTCCAGTAGCTGTTATTGCTCTTTCTAGTATTGAAGGAGGCGGGGGGGTCCTTACTAACCTTTTATTCGAAGTAGTGTGGAATGTCAACATCATAATTATGTTATTGTTTCTCTCTTGAGTTACATCTGCTATCTGTTGAAACTTGGATAAGCATGGAATAATAATAATACAACACAAAATGTACGTAAACAAAATGTATTGAAACAAGGAAACGGTACACAATATTTACAGTTAGTTTTGGTATATTCTTGGAAAGACTGTTCCTGCAGAATGGGTTGACTAAATCGCAGTCGGGCAGAGTCTCTGGATTCGATCTCTTCTCCGTCTTCCGGTACCAACCCATATTTATATGGTCGGTACTCCACTTATGTAAATTAGGTGGATCGTACACAACACTATCCATTTTAGTTGTTGCTGCTGTTGAATGTCCTTAAGTGTTGTGGTTTCTATTATTTGGTACAGTTCTTTGTGATTCTGTAGCGACAGTCTATAATGTCTGAAGAAGGGCGGTGTTCGCCAAGATCCAGAAGCTTTATTGGCTCTAAGCCATTTTCAACCATTTATCTTAGAAAACGGTTTTAATTCAGCTGACACTTTAGATATTTTTGAATATTTTTAGCCTTTTCCTTATAAAGAAACATTTGGCATTCATTGACCGAACAACCTGTGCAACTTGACCTACGTTTAGCTTCACTCCCTGGCCATCAGAATAAGATCAAAGTGTAATATCTGTTCTCTTAATCTGTAATGATAATTGGAATATTGGCCGTTTCCTTATAAGGAAGCATTTGATCGCGCAGACAGTACTACTAAGTGCTGCTGCCGAATAAATTTTATAAAACCTTGCTCATAAAACAATTTTTCTCAAGTTCAGTAGCTGTTATAGCTCTTTCCAGTATTGATGGGGGGTTTCTTTACTAACCTTTTATTCGAAGTAGTGTGGAATTTCAAAATCATGATTATGTCATTATTTTCTCTTCGAGTTACATTTGATATCCATTTTAGTTGTTGTTATTGGTAGTCCTCAAGTGATGCGGTTTCTATTACTTGGTACAGTTCTTTGTTTGTGATTGTGTAGCGCCAGTTCACGAAATTCGAAGAAGGATGGTCCTCGCGAAGACCTACAGTATTCATTCACTCGACGCCATTTTTAATCATTAATATGAGAAAGGAGTTGTATACAGCTGACAGTTTTGATATTTCTGGACGAGTTTGGCGCCATGCAGACATTCATATGAAAGTCTCCATCTGACGAAGGTATTTAAGGACAGGACTCGTGTTTTCAGATAAACATTTTGGTTTTGTAATATACTTAATTAGTTATAACTAACTCATACGCGGATGCAATTGTTTTATATTTGCTAAATCCACATCTTGAACCATTATGGTTGATTCATTGGAATTATATATATGCAGGATGTGGAGGAGGAATTATAAAATACAAGTATCGGTTATGATTATGCAGGAAACATTGAAGATGCTGGAACGCTGAAATTTTAGATTTATAATTTTTTTTCTTAGATGTGTCTGGGAAGATTTGGTAGGTAGTGTAATATATCTCGGTTCATTGGATTTGCTTGAATAGTTCATACATTTATTTTGAAATATTTGACAAGCCTTCTGTTTGGGGTTTAATATGTTGCGGTCTGGTGTACACGTTGTGAGATAAACACGTGTGTCTCCTGAAATGCCCACAACAAACATGGCAGACTCAGAATATGAGTCCACCTAAAAAAATAATGCAAAGAAACGACAAAGACCGATTTATGTAAAAACAAATTATAATGTATTAACAAACGAAGCTTTACAAATGACAAAGACAAAATGTGTATAACAAATTAAAGTGGAAACTTTCAAATCCAGAGTATGTGAAGTGAGTTAATGTACGTACGTACGTGTATGTGTATGTATTGTTCATGCGTTTCCTACAAAAAGAAAAACGCGATTTTCCGCGAGAGATTTACATCTTGTCGTATAAGGTGAAAAGTAAGAAGAGAGCGATAAAATTTCATCGCAGAGTATTTATAGTATTGGAGAGCGTCCCCTAGAAACAGTTCCGAAAATTAGGAGGAAATAACCCGACAAATATGAAATTATTAGGGTATTGGAGGTGCTGTATTATAATCAACGCTTAATTTCATTTGCCTAAGATTTATATTTAAATAAAAATTTATATTGCACTTTGTACAAAATGCGTCCTGGGTAAGACGTTAAACTACGTCCGACAGCAAGGCCTCTGATCAGGAGGTTTTGTGGAGTAGGAGCATGGAACTACCTCTTAATTGCTGTTGTCCCTAAGTCCACCTTTCCACCAGCAAGGTCTCTGATCAGGAGATTGAAGGTTTTGAGGAGCGTGGAACCAACTCTTAATTGCTGGAGTTCCCAGATCCACCCTGACCCGCGGTGGTAGCACCTATTAGGGTCCCAGCTATGGACATATAGTTAACCGCCAAACTGGGATCAAAACGTGTAAAAACAGGTTTTATTACCAGCAATAAATTTTTGCCAAAAATTAATACCAGCAATGAATTTTTGAAGAAAAAATTATTATCAGCAATACATTATTACCAGCAATACTTGTTTGGAAAAAAATTTTATCAGAAATATATTTAAAAAAAAAAAAAAAAAAAATTACCAGCAATACATTTTTGGAAAAAAATATTACCAGCAATACATTTTTGAAAAAAAATATCAGCAATACATTTTTGAAAAAAAGAAATATTACCAGAAATAAAAAAAAAAAATCTTGTCGGCATTAAATAACCCATTCAGGTTGATATGCCGTCAAACAAAACAAAGCAAAGTAAACCAAATTTTGTATAAAGTTAACATCCGCAGACCAAGTTGTTATTAGAATATTTAATGACGATAAATATTATAAATTAAAAATCATAGTAATTTAGTATTATGTGGATATATTACTAAAAGGTAATATTACTAAATTACTAAAGGTAAAAGAACAAAAAAGCGGGCCTCCTGCGAATGATTAGCATTTAAGTGTAGTTTAGAATATGAGATTGGATCTTCTCTGTTAATTCACCCCAAATAATGTAAAGTTACTTATCGCAAATATTAATTCATTCCAAGAAATTAAAGTTTGTTTGTTTTGTTGTTTTTTTTAAATTTTTGGCACTCTCTTAAATTATAAATTTTAGGCACTCTCTTAAATTATAAATTTTAGGCACTCTCTTAAATTATAAATTTTAAGTCAAAATTTGTTTAGCTTGTCTCGCAACAACTTCAACCTTCTGAATGAAAAATTACCAAAAGATCAGGAAATTATCCATATTTTGTAAATGCGGATGATATTCGAGTTACTTTCAAGGAATTCATGCAATTAAAAATAAAGAAAAAAAAATTGGGGGGGGCTTGTTTATCGGAGTGAGCACGACGTAGACCCACACTTAACAATAACGCGCCGAGTCGCCCACATTTGGGACGATCGCAAAAGTCAACCCAACCGGAGTGCAATGGAAGTACCTCGCTCTGGGAGAATTTGGTGTGAATTTTATTTAATAAATATAGATCTTTTCTTTTAGGGTTAATTAACAGAAAGGATCCTAGAGATTTTATAAAACAAAACAATATTGTTTGGTTCCAATGTTACTCTATGTCACTCTACCCCCACTTTTTTTAATAACCATCCCCGTTTTCTTCGTTACCACCACCCTGGATTATCACACTGAAGGTGGGCGGTACCGCTCACTTTGGGAATCCCAGACTTCTTTTTCTTTTTATGTGCCATGTCGATCCCCCCTCTATCCCTTGCAGCTCTCAGCAAGTTCCTTCCCTCTGCTTCCTCCCCAGGCCACGTTCTGTCAACCACTTGCTCAAGCTCGTCAGGTATGTTCGACCCGTGAGTATGAGATTCTCCAGGCCCTTCTTCCTCATTATGTGACCCAGAAACTTCAGCTGTCTCTTTATGATGTTAAATATAAGCCTTCTTCCTTGTTTGTAACCTCTCTAAGACTTTATCGTTGCTCACATGCTCGGTCCAGGATATTCTTAGCATCCTTCTGCAGAACCATATCTCCGTTGCCTCTTTGAGGAAATCGTCCAACATTCCCAGGCTTAGGTTATAGATTTTAATGTAAGGGAGATAATTCTGTATGACCCTCCGTGACTAAAAAAAAAAGTTGTTTCTCTTTCTCTTTGCAGAGAGCACAGTGAGTCTGTCTCTGAAATGCAGTGAATACGTGAACAGTTTGGACGCCGATGCCCACATTGTTATGTACTGCTTAGCAACTGTTAGTGAAACTGGACAGAGATATATTACAAGAGAAGCCTTTTGGTTAGACAAGCCACATCTAGATTTAAAGGTTTGTTATATATTTTTCTTACAGACTATGATGCAGTTTTTTTGTATGAGAAAGTCAGTTTCTGTTTACGTACCAAATGGCATACCTAAGGTTTAAAATGAATTTTTAAAAATGAAAAAGCATTCTTGAAGCTTTTGTTTTAGCTTTAATTGAAAGCTAAAGGATTAAATGTACTATTTCCAGTAAGAAAAATACTCTGGTGTATTTCAAATAGAAATTGTATTTAGTGAAATCTAAACTTTTTGGTCGCTTTCACAAAATCGGCCATTTTGACACATTTGTAAACAAAAGTTAATTCTAGGTATTAAAAATTTTCAAAAAATAAAATATACTTTTTTGAAACTTTATTTATTAGCTGACTTAAAGTATAAGTATTTGATTTGGAAAAATATATTATTTACTTTAAGTTTAAAATAATAGAGAAATGGATTTTTAAAACAAACGGTAGTGGTGATTACATGCTTATCATGGTCACTTGTCACTCATAGATCACGTAGCAAGTGATGATAAAATGTGTAAATGTGCCAACACCTTTACTGTTGTTCTACGGAGACTTTATCTGTTAAAACATAATACAAGAAAATGAGCATGAGCACTTATTTTATATAATTTTTAAGGACACAGTAATAATTTTATTTTCCAACATTTTTAAATGTTGGAAAATAAAATTATTCTTGTAAATAAACTTTATTTACAATGATAATTTTATATTTACAACATTCTAAAAACTAATAAAACTAATACAATGCAATATTTATCATTTACCACTCCATAACCTTTATTGTTTTAAAAAGCGATGATTAGAATTTTAATAATAAATCGTAAACATATGATAAAAGTGAATTTATAGATTTTCTTTGTTCTTGAGAATTTACAACAAAAATATTAAACGCTATTTATTTACACAAATAATTTTATATTTACAATATTCTAAAAACTAATACAATTAGAACTAATTCAATGCAATATTTATCATTTATCAACTTTAAGGAAATAAATATGAAAACAATTCTTTATTCATAAATTTATAAACATTGATTAAATTATTAAAATATGTGAACCAACTATAAGAAAATCCTTATTACTTACCATTTTATAAAGTTCAAATCGATTGGCAATTAACCGATGTTTTGCCAACCATTCTAATAAACAATATAATAGTGCTTATTATTTTTGTTGCCAATTCCCAAGAACAAAGAAAATGTATAAATTCACATTCATATGTTTAGGTTCAATTCCAATTCTGATAAGCGCTTTTTAAAACAATAAATATTGTTGAGGAGTGAAGGTAGTTAAGATAATGGCAGCATCAAGGGCAAAACTGTCATTTTTACACTGTTTTTTTTTTCACAAAAATTAAATTAAATCATTATTATCTCAAAAGAATTCTTAGAATCTAAAAATATTTTCTTGCTTTAAATAACTTGCAAAAGGTTGATAACTCGTAAAAAACAAATCAATCGATCGATCAATCTAAGTATGCTAATTCCATAATTTTTGTTCAATATTTTTCAATAAAAGAAATATCTCTTCATGCTGCTTTGTGTTCATGCCTGTAATTTTGTCAAATCATGCAATTAACTACTTATTAGTTAACTGAGGTCCACATTAACCCTTAACACTTTGCATTATTCACTATTTTCCTTTCCCCTGCATTGTTTTTCAAGGCTACTTAATTTCAGTCATGGTCATTTTCTGTTGCCATAGCAGGATATGACAACACAACTGTAAAATTCAAACATTCTACCATTCATTCATCTGAGTCACTTACAGTTTCAGGATGAAATTTTTGCTTTGCAAACAAAATCACCTCCGGAATGTCAAAGGTTAACATAAAGCCATCTGATTCAGCAAGAACAAACAAGAAACTGTATTATACAGTCAAAATAACACAATAATCGACACCTATAAGGTATCCTAGATGTTCAGAGAGTTTAACTGTTAGTGACTCAGAATAAGAAGTCAGCAAGCCAATTTCAAATTTCGGTCAGATTTGTTGCATTCACTTTCACACAAATACTCATGGGGAAAGTTAGGAATCCATACCTTCAACCCTGTCAACCCCGGCTATAGCTTAAATAGCAGATTTCCCTGTATTTTCTTGCTTTACCATGGCAACCAGTCTAGAAGAAGGAAAACTTTAAATTCAAAACTAGCCTGAAGAGGGATGTGTTTCATCAGGCTCTCTTGCCTTAGACACAACTCTGCTGCTTTGGTTGCAGTACATCTGGTGCCCCTATAACCAAAAATGGGTTACAAGACTTGTGACATGACATGATAATAAGATTATTAATTGATTCGTTTTCTACAGCTTATCAACTTTTTGTAGGTTATTTAAAGCCAGAAAATATTTTTAGATTGTAATAATTTTTTTTGAGATAATAATGATTAATAGTGATTAACCCATAGTTGGGGGGAGAAGAAATGAATTTAGACCTTTTGATAAGGTCCAAGAGTATTTGAGCATAAGTGAATATATCAAACCTAACTAGAATTGGAATTTGGCTCTCCAATTAACAATTCTGAACCTAGACATCCAATTTTACAGTACCATCTAGGTACTGACCAGGCTCAATGTTGCTTAGTTTTGGTGATCATATGGGAACCCGTGCTTCAATGTGATGTGGACTTAAGCATAAGATATTTTATAGCCAAAAATAATGGTCACCTGAATGTGTACTTGGCTGAAATGTTGTTCTACAATAACATTTAAGATAATCAAGATTACAGTCTAACTTAAATAAATCAAATAAGCTAAAGTACATGCTTTTAATGTTTTGTATTTTTCCCCTGACAGGCAGATACCAGTGTGTGCATAGGGAAAGCCTTTGATGTAATGGTAAAATTCACCAATACACTTACCATACCACTTAGTGGAGGCCATCTGAACATCGAGGGGCCAGGAATGCAAAGGGTAGCTCCAATTAAAGTCAAGTAAGTATCAATACCATCAGAAAATGGTATTAGTACCATTCAATGTGGTAAAGCCACTAAAATGCAAGGGATTCTTGAGAGTGGAAAAATCTGAGAAAAATCCTTATTAAGGAGAGAGGACAATAAAAGAACTGGAATTTAGAAGAGCAAAGACAATGATTGACATTACATTTAAAATTTAGAACAATGCTTCTTAAACTATGGATTGCAACCCCAAATGGGGCTGCAAAGTGAAATGCTGGGGTTGCAAAAATTTAACTTAAAGACATGAATTTCAGTTTATGTTATTTTACAAACACACAATATTTACCATGATGCACCATGCAAGCGCTGCAGTAATAAAATGCACATGTGGTGTCATTGCAACGAGTGCAGTGACAACCGATGTATTTTCAGTGTACTTGGTTAATACCTGAAGATACAAAAAATCTTGTGATAAAAAATGGGGTCGTGAATGAAAAAAGTTTAAGAAGAGCTGTTTCAGAATAGCCAGAAGAGAGTTCTACAAGCAGGAAGTGTGATAAAAAAAAACCGTTAGCATAAACCTTTTGGTAACATCTAGCCATATCAACTATAAATGAAAAGAAAATTAAAATTTCCATTGTCCAAGTCTCATCTGGTGATCTAATAAAATCTGTCTAATTTTTTGAGTCTGTGAATTAAATCGTTGTCATTATTAATTAATTGTGAATTTTTTTCATTGTGGCTTTAATTCTTGCATACCATTTGGTGTCATCTTAAATCAGCATAAAAACTCCCAAAAGAAAAAGTACCAATGGGCCTTAAGCTATTTTCGTTCCCTTAACCCATTTATGTGTGATCACCACAGAAAATTCGACCTTGTGTCTGTCACATTTGATACAAAGTAGGTGCATAAATGAAAATAAACCTCCTTAAAAAAATTCCTTAAAGACAAATAACAAATTATTTTTAAGAATGTATTTTGGTGCCTTTTAAAATCAGTCACAATATTTGTTTTTTCATTGGTTCAAGCAATCCGATACTACACATTCAAATGATTCTTTTAATCATTTCACCCCAAGCAAGGTGGTAAAGCCACTAACATACTGAGAGTAAAATAATCTGAGAAAAATCATTATTAAGGAGAGGACAATAAAAGAAGGGTATTTAAGAAGACAGAAGATAATGATTCACAGTGCATTAAAGTTTTTGATGATCAAACTTGACTGAAAAGCAAGAAACCAGAAAAAAGTTCCACAAGTGAGAAGGGTAAGAAAAGAAGCATAGAACTTATAGTTACATCTAGCAATTTTATCTGTAAAATAATGAGACCTAGCTGCCAATCTAGTACTGCTCTTAAGTCTAGGTACCAAAGAGGAAGTTCATCAGAACAGTTACAATGAAGATATTATTTATAGAAAAGGCATGGGGAAGCTATGTTACAGTGGTGGGAAAGTGCTTGAAGCTGAGATGCCAGATCTAGACTAATAACATTGCAGATTCTTGCTAATGCATTTCATTCATTTGTAATAAAATACATTCATGTTTATAATGAAATGCATTTATAATGTATTTCATTCATTATGAATTCATAATGCTTTCATTTATAATGAAATGCATTCATATAATAAAATGCATTCCTAAAGAATGTCATTCATTTATAATGAAATTTATTCATACTTTAATGAAATGCATTCATATTTTAAAAATAAATTAAAATATGAATAACATATTGTTCTGGCATACCTATGGACGATAATGGGTATGTCCTCATTCACATAAATACAGTAGTAAATACTGTACATTGGTCTTCAGTTGGAGATTCATTGTGAAATTCATTTGACTCATTTCTAGCAGTTGACTACTTCTTATACATGCTGCTGGTGAATCTTATATGTATTGTTCTTGTCCTAAGTATTATCATTCATTACCAACCTTCATGTGATTATTCTATTCAGTAACCTTCTCTAGGTTACAACATATATTTTATTTATTATAATATAATTTATAATGAAATATATTCGTATTTTATTGAAATGTATTCAAATTGTATTTTGTTCATTTATATTGAAAGGCATTCATATTTATCATGAAATTCACTAATAATGCATTTAATTAATTTTTAATGAAATACATTCATATAATGAAATGTATTCCTAATGTATTTCTTAAATTTATAATGAAATACATTTCTAATGCATTTCATTCACTTGGCCATTCATAAAATTTATGTGTGAATTTCTTTTTTTTTTTTTTTTCAGATATTGTTCTCTTTTTAGCATATTATGATAACTATCACAATTTCTGCTTTATAGAATATCATTAACTTTTTTTTTACCATTTTGTCTTTCAGAAAATCAATTGCTCCAGGGGAAGAATTTAGAGAGAATGTCCAGTTAAAAGCTCGTCGTCTTGGGCGGAAAGAAGTGATTGCTAATTTTTATTGTAAGCAAATAGTGGACATTACTGGCGTGATTGAGGTTGATGTAGTGGAGGAACTAAAGACAAACTAATGGCAATCCACTATTAAGAAGTTGTGGAGGACAGATGGACAAAAGAGGGAAAGACCTGGCAGAGGCAGAATTGAGATGAAAACTGGAGAATGTCTGCAGTTGTAAGGAAATCGTTTTGGGAAGCATTTAGAAAATGAACATGCAGAAGAAGGTGTTGCCTAAGAAAGAATGAAGAAGTGTGCTTGTCTATAAATGGGGAAAGGGAGAGATAGGTTAGAATGAAAGAAGTGAGATAGAGAGAGAGAGAGAGAGAGAGAGAGAGTGTGGAAAGGTGAAAGAAAAAAGGAATTATGAAATGAATGAAAAAGATGAAAAAAAAATGAAGTAAAATTGGGAAGAAAAAGTCAGGAGAAAGACAAGAATTGTAAAAAAAAAAAAGAGAGAGGAGAAAATAATGAATAAGAAAGAATGAAAAAAAAAGAATGAAAAAAGAAAGAAAAAATGATTGAATGAAAGAATGAATGAAAAGGATATGAGTGTGAATGGTTGAAAGGAAAAAAAATTAACGAAAATTGGAAAGAAAGGCATATAAAAAATAATAAGAAAAAATCTCAACAAAGAAAGAAAGAAAAAATGAGTGGAAAAATGGTGATTATTGAATACTAATGACATGCCTGAAGAAAAAAAGAAAACTGAAGAATAAAAAGAATTAAAAAAATGTTAATGTAAAAAAAATCATAATTATAAAATGATTAAAAAGAGACAGAGTTGAGAGAAAGAAAAATTTGAAAGATAAAAAAAAATGTGGAAATTTCAAATGGGAAAATAAAAGAAAGAAAGATATACTTGAAAAAAGATTTATAAGAAGAAAATGGAATATAGAACTGAAAGAAAGAAAGAAAGAAAGAAAGAAAGAAAGAAAGAAAGATATAACTGAAAAACATTTGGAAGAAGAAAAAGAAAGAAAGAAAGAAATAGTTGAAAAAACATTTGGAAGAAGAAAAAGGAATAAAGAACTGAAAGAAAAAAGAAAAACATCTATCTGAAAAAAACATTTGGAAGAAGAAAAAGGAATAATTGAATGAAAGAAAGATGTAACTGAAAAACATTTGGAAGAAGAAAAAGAAAGAAATAGTTGAAAAAACATTTGGAAGAAGAAAAAGGAATAAAGAACTGAAAGAAAAAAGAAAAACATCTATCTGAAAAAACATTTGGAAGAAGAAAAAGGAATAATTGAATGAAAGAAAGATGTAACTGAAAAACATTTGGAAGAAGAAAAAGAAAGAAAGAAAGAAATAGTTGAAAAAACATTTGGAAGAAGAAAAAGGAATAACTGAATGAAAGAAAGATATAGCTGAAAAAACATTTGAAAGAAGAAAAAGGAATAAGTGAAAGAAAGAAAGAACAAAACTGTTGAAAAAACATTTGGAAGAAGAAAAGGGAATAACTGAAAGAAAGAAAGAAAGAAAGAAAGGAGCTCACAAAAAAACAAAAAAAAAAACAATATTAATCACATCTGAAATTCTCTTCACAGTTGCTAAATTTTCTTTGTAAACTATATACGCCAAATTCTTTTATCCACTGTCTGCAAAAAATATTTGCCTGATTTTCAAAACCAAAAAGGAAACATCCTCCCAGAGTCAGTATCTTGAAGCGTCAGTTGTCAGTTATCTGAATGTTGTTAATCAATTATCTGACATTGATTGCCTACAGCTTCAATCACTGACCATTGATCAAGCAATTAAGATGCATTTGAAAAATGCTCAAAGTAAATAATACAAATAAAATAATTTTGTTGGCAAATTAGTGGGGGAAAACAATTGTTTTTTTCTTGTATTATTTTTTTTTTATGTATTTTCAAATTGCAAAAATAAAAGAAATTTTCCAACAACATTCACAGAAACAACCTCTGCATATACAAAGATTTTCTGGCTACAGTTCAATTCTGTGTCATTTGTTGAAATTAAAACCATTTCTTTATATTTGTTAGTCACTGTTTTTATTTCATTCATTCTTTCTTTAATACTTCTCAGTATCTTGATGGGAGGTAATGTTTTGTCAGACTAGTCTGGTTGAACATTACTACTGTTCAATCCCTACTGTATGCTCTACACAACAATTTGGCAAAGATTAACATATGTACCCACAAAAAAAAACAGTATGTCAAAAAATGGTCTTTCTCTTGACTTTGTTATTACTCTATACTTCATTGGCAATTTTTCTGTTTTCAAAAGCTCTTTTAAAATTTTAATAAAACCTAAACATATGAAAGTGAATTCATGCATTTCTAGAGAACTGATTACAAAAGTAATAAATATTATTCTTAGAATTTGTGCTAGTCCGTGTTGGAGATTCTTGGTATTTTATTTTATTGGAAACATAGGACATCAAATAAACTGACACAAAGGTATAAAATAAATAAGATATTTTTGTTTATTTGATTTAGCCCTTTGATATTCATTGTGGTAAAATATTTGTTTAAAAGGCAGATATTGGTAGCAGTCTGGAAAAATGTCTGTTTCGGCTGGGTAGTGCTAACTTTGAAGTTAGACCATGCTAGGGGTAGTAGTAATATTAGAAATAGGTCTGTGTCAGTCTACAGTGTTTTTCTCAGCCCTCAGAAGGGCAGAAAATATAATTAGCAAATTACCTCTTAACTACTTCTTCATGTATAATGCATGGCTGGTTTCTCTGGCTGTAGTGGCTTTTGTTTCATCCTCACCTGCCATCCTATTTTTGCTAGCTCAAAGGTTATATCCTTTTGAACAGGCTCTGAGACACTGGAGCAAACCTTGGTTTTGGCAAGCATCATAAGTTTCTTTGTGTTCATTTTTTTGATTGGTCCAAATTATTCTATTTTCTAGCATTAATTTCTTTTAGATTTTTTTTATAATGCAACAGCCTCCCTGATTTTCACTAGTTTTCCATCACAAATTAAGAGGCACCAGTCCCTCAAACTTCCGGCCTTTTTCGGACAGAGTCAATCTTTTCTTCTTCTTCCTCTTTATTTGAGAGTTGCTTTTTGTTTGAAAAAGATGAAACACTATCTAGTGTTACTCATATCTTCTTTTATTAGCAGCTTGTCCTAGCATCATTCAAGTTTGCTTGTGGCCAGCATCACCTGTTTTTGGAGTAGTCTGAAAATACGCCTGCCCCATTTTTGGTTGTGTTGGCCTCTACTTTAGTGCCTAATTTTCTGTCATACCCAATATTATCAGATGAATAAACCTGACCTACCATCAGCAGGAGTTATCTACCAAAGGGAGATAACCTATATTTTTTATAAAGTTTGAAAGCAAATAACATAGATAGAAATTATTTAAAACCTTAAAATCAACAACACCCTAAAAACCGTTACTGTCTATATTTTATGTCTTTTTTTTAGGTTTTAATTTTTTTTATGTATTTTTTTATATTTATCTCTAATTTATTTAATTTTCTGTTTTGTTGCTTTTTTTTATAACTTTTATGCTAAAAATTTTAAGAACATCATTTTGTTATTTTATTGGAAATTTCATATGTAATCAAAGTTGAGAGAGAAGTAGATAGAGAGAAAGAGATCAAGGTTTTGAAAGAAAAAGTCTAATAAAAATTCTTTAACATTTTTATCGTTATTTCTCAAGAATCAAAGTATAAATCCAGGTGCCTGCAACCAATTTTAGTGAATTTATGTGACAAAAGCAACTGCGAGAAATGCCTGGAAACTACATTTTTTTCAAAATTTATTATTACAGATACTGGTTATTGTGCTTATTTAAATTTTCTTGTTTACAGTCATTGTTATAAATTTATAGATATTTCTTAATAATATGGTAAATAAATATTGCATTGAAGTTGGTTCATATATTTTTAGAAACTTGTAAATATAAAATTATTCTTGTAAATAAATAATCTAATAAGTAAATAGTGTTTAATATTTTTTTTGCCAGTTCTTGAGAAAAAGGATAATATATCTAGTTTCATATGTTTGTGCTTTATTATTATTTTGATCCCATACAGACCACATATAAAATTAAAAGTAGCACTGAACTACTTCAGAAGATATTGCTGGTAAGTCTGTTTTTCTTACTAGTTAATCTTATCACAAACATAACCAGCATTAAAAGAACTGATTTTAAAAAAATTTACTCATTTAAATTTCAAATTTGATTACATATGAAATTTCCGAGAAAATGACAGAAATGATCTTCTTAAAATTTTCAGCATCAATGTTATAAAGAAAAACAACAAAACAGAAAATCAGATTTATAAATTAGAGATAAACATAAAAAAATTAAAATCTAAAAAAAAAAAGTCATAAAAAGTAGGCAGTAACTATTTTTAGGGTGTTGTTGATTTTAAGGTTCTAAACAATTTCTATTTACATTATTGGTATTGAAACTTAAAAAAAATATATAGGTTATCTCCCTTTGGTAGATAACTCCAGCTGATGGTAGGTCGGGACTATTCATCTGATAATATTGGGTATGACCCAAAATTAGACACTAAAATAGAGGCTGAGACAGCCATGAATGGGGTAGATGTGTTTTCAGTCTACTCCAAGAACAAGTGAAGCAAACCTGAATGATGCTAGAAAAAACAGCTAATGAAAGATCTGAGTAACACCAGATAAGCATTTCATCTATTTCAAACAGACATGTTTTTAGATATGCCTTGACTTTTAACTGGTAAAAGAATACGTTTTTAGCAACTCTATTCTCATTCTCGTGGTATAATGTAGTTATTATATGAAGTATGGTTTTTAAACTATTCAAATGTCTCATCTTTGTTCATCATGCCACAACTCAATTTGTGTAGTCATTAAATTTCTCACAACTTGTTATAACATTAATAATGTTGATTATAGTTATGATGACTGTAAGCACTTCCGGTCCCACTAGGGAATGCTGGGATCAAGACAAATCCAGCAGGAAGTCTGAATAAATGTGTTGTTGAGTTTACCACATCGTGTCACCTTTGTGCTGCTTTGACTTTTCAGTGGCCAGTCTCATATAATATATCTTTCCACTCTAAGGCCAGTGGAACAAAACTAATGCCATCATCTTTGCTATTGTTATCACAATATTATGTCCACTGTGACCTTCTTTAGACACCTGATGGCATCTGAAGAAAGCCAGAGAGGACGTTGGCTGAAATGTTAAAAATGGCAATGAAGATGAGGACAATAGTCCGAAATGTAAATAATGATAATCCCTTCTAGGAAATTTAGTTGTCCAGATTTTCATATTAAAAATTTGAATGTAAAAATTCTAAACAATAATAAAATAAAAATAAAGAAAACATGCCTGTTAAATAAATTACTTGTATTTACAAATATATGTACATGAATTCAAAACAGTTAAAAAGTATTAGAAAATAGTCTTTTGTTGAGTTAAATTATTTGGGTAGTTGGTTCGTAGTCAAAGTTGAGGTTTAGGCAAGGCTTTTAAATAGTTGGTTCACACAAAAAGCCATGGTTTTAAAAAAAACCTTTATTATTAGTGAAAATTCACTGACCATCTTTACTGTTGTTGTTGTAGATGATTCATTTGAAGTCTCCAACATTCTTCTATTGTGGAGAAAAAGTTGAATATCTGTCATGTCCAAATGACCTGGAGACTGTTGCAGATCTCCTTCTTGAAAATTGAAATCTGTTGGCTTTTTATAAGAGAATTTTCCCCCTAAGTAGGCTTGAGAAAAATAGAGTTTTAGTTTTCACTGATTGGTCAAATATTTCACATGGTGATGTTAATTTCTAACCAATCGACACTTTGATTTAAACAGTGTGTGTTGTATTGGGAAATCTTTTTTGCATGTTTGTAATATTGTCTGTTTTGGGGTATAAAATAAAGTTTGATGATGTTTTAATATGGTATGTATGTGGATATGTAACTGTGTTGGAAATAGTGTTTCTTTCTTATATCCTCATTCCAGAAATTAAAACAGAAATTAAGAATATTCTTCATAATAAATACCGAATTACCTCCCTTACATTTTTTCCTTAGATTTTGTTTTTATCTAGGCTTCATATTCGGAGCCTTTCTTTCATTTTATAAATGATGAGATTTAATGGTCCCAAATGTTAAATTATATTTGAGTTTCTGTTTGAATTTCTGGGATTTGGAGTATGTATCGCTATGTAGTGAACAACTGCAGAGGACAAAGAGGCCCAAGGTTGCATGTATTTTTTGCAAGGCGAGAATAAAATCAAAAATAAAATAACTTACCTCCAAAGATTTGAATGTCCCTTGCAGTATAAACTGTTCAAGGGAGAAAGAAATGGCAGCTCTGAGCGTTACATATTTAAAATAGATCTCGAAGTAAGATACTCACTCACAAGATTATCTTTGCGTATATGCAAATTTTGGCTGTCAATGATGAATAAAAACAGAAAGAACGGGGCAACCAGTCAGTGAGGAAAAAGATGGTTGACTGCTGTGCTGAACTGGCTACAAGTGTCACGGACAAGAGAGAAAAGAAACTGATTGCAGGCACTGATTGCTACAATAAGTTTAAAGCTTCTTTTTTTTGCTACACATTTTTACATTATTTACTCTCAGACAAAGGTCGTTGTTTTTGTAATTCTCACAATGTTTCAGCTGTTGTGCCCGTGAGCCTTCATCAGGTTCTTATTGATAATTTTCAAGGAATTTTGAACTGAACCTTTCACTTAATCTATGGGACAGTAACCTTGTGGATTGAGTGTTAGTTTATGAATTTGATGACAAAGTAATTGTGAGTTCAATTCCTGCACTGAGTAGTACAGACTTAGT